AAAAAAAAAAGGCATTTAATTAGGGGCTTGCAGTTCCTGAGGTTTAGCCCATTATCATCGTGGTGGGGAGCATGGTGGCTTACAGGCAGACATGGTGCTGGAGAAGTAGCTGAGAGTTCTGCATCCTGATCTGCAGGCAGCAGGAACAGATAGGGAGCCACTGGGCCTGGCTTGAGCTTCTGAAACCCCACAGCCTACCCCACCCCACCCCCACCCCTGGTGACCCACTTTCTCTTACAAGTCCACACCTACTCCTACAAGGCCACCTGCTAATTCCTTCTAATCTTTCAAGAATTCCACTCCTGGTGACTAAGCATTCAAATATGTGAGCCAGTAGAGGTCATTCTTACTTAACCACCACAAGATTCTTAACTGTTTTTATATTTATTTTCTTTTTATTACACCTTATTTATTTGATTGCCGGGGACATAGGTGTGACTTAACATACATATGGAGGTCCTAGGACAACCTGCAGGAATCTGCTCTCTCTTTTCACCATGTGGGTTCTGGGTAACGAACTCAGATAATCAAACTATTGAGCTAAAGCCTTAAACCCGTACATCATGAGTGGTTTCCAAATTTCCTTGGTTGATATATTTTCTTCTCAGTGCTCTATTATAAAAGTTTCAATTATATGGCAAACTTAAGGAACTTCCTGAAATATTGAATTTAAATATGGATTGAAATTACTCAAAAGTATAGCCAAAAAAATACTTGTTCTTAAAACATATCCAATATGAAGTAAGCAGCAATATATCTAGAGGAGAAAGTAGAAAGAAATAGAGAATATTATTTGAAGGGAAAAACACTTAACATTTTTAGAACTAATAAAGCATATCTAATTTAGAATTAAGAGAAAAATGTATATCTAGAAATAGTATAACAAACTGCATAGAATACCAATTCTCTGTGCCTATTCACAGTCATATTCTTAATACTTTTTTTAATGATATTTTTCTTTCTGCAAGTTCTCTGTGTGTGGTTGCTCTGGTCATGGTCTTGTTATGCCCAAATCAGTGGGTCCCCACAAAAGCAAACAAAGGAGACCAAGTCCCATATGTAAAAGCAAAGAGCCTTTATTTTAATCAAGTTTGCAAACTCGGTCTCTCCGCAAGACCAACACATTGGAATATCTGGAGAGCCCCAAGCTCAATTAGAATTGGGTTTTTATAGTAGTAAAGGTGGGGGTGAGGAGTCTCTGAGGTTCAGGACCCCTGATTGTCTGACGTCTGTCTAGGGGTGTCCTGGTGAAGTGCTGGCAGGTGTTTCTATCTACAGTGCTTGGAATGCCAGAAATTTCCTTTGAATGGTCAGCTCTTGGGTGGGAATCGGTAATCTGGGCCTGCCAGGCATTGTCTCGGTAAACTATTGAGACTCCAGACTCCATTTAAATTCATGGATGGCCAGAGTCCCAGGTGATAATGGTTGAAGGAAGTAAAGAACTTCCTTTTTGCCCAGACTTAGATTATCATGGCTGGCCCTCACAGTCTCATGTTCATAAAATGTGTACTTCTTCCCCTGCGTCTCCTGTCTAAGGAAGAACCCCAGGACCATGTGTGTGCTGGGCAAGCGTTCTCCTACTAAACAATATCCTTCACCTCCGGTATTTTTGAGACAGGGTTTCCTGTGTACCTTAACTAGACTTGCCCTGCCGCACAGCCTGTGCCACGGCCTGATGAGTGCTGGGATCCCAGACATCCACTCCTGTAAATCTGGTGGACGTGTTATATTTGACAGTTTCAACCTGAAATCTTTGCTGAACTTATAAAACTGTAATTGTTGGTAATAGACCTTGATTAATTGCAGCTTTTTCTCATTATCTGCATAATTTCAGTCTTGCTTTTTCATTAGTTCTTTGAGGAATTGTGATGGCTCTGAATTGCAGTTTTTCTCCAGTCAGTTTTTGTTTCCTCAAGCCATGTTTTCCAGCATTAGCATGCAGAACCACTTCTCTTGCCTGTGTTTGCATTCCCCAGACAAACAAGGAGTGAAAACACACATCTAAATATCAGCTGGCCAGGGTTACTTTTCCAAGGTATTTCCTTTTAACTCCAGAGCACTCATTTTTCTTGCCTGCTGATGGATCTTCCTTTCTTCTTCCCTCTATCCCTCCCTTCCCCCTGAGACACACGTAGCCCTGGCGTGTCAGGAGTTTACAGAGATCTGCCTAATGCTGCCTCTTGAGTGCTGGGATTAAACGTGTGCACCTCCATACCCAGACTGATCTTTTTTTCTCCTTACTCTTTACAGCCAGGACTATTTAATGACCACTTGATTCCTGTTATACTCAAAGCTCTAGGTTCCTGTTATTGGCATTGGCACCTCTCATTATCCACACCTTCTTCATGAACTTCCCACAGGGGTTTTAGCCTCTTATAAGATTAGCTATGTAATTGAGCATTTCCTATTTTTCCTTCCTGTTTCTTTGCTTCTCAGTGTTTTTGCTAGAAATGAAGGCCCTCTGATAATTGATACCTTTGTTCTAGATGACTCTAGTTTAGGAGCCTCTCTTACCTATGAAGATTTTAGTTCCTAGTTCTCTCCCTTCTATTAGGCTGATGGATTGTATAACGTTTAGTCAAGTATGGTGGGAATAGAGTTTTCTTAAACCTGTAGAAGAAAATAATGGTTTTTTTTTAATTTTGTTTAGTTGGGGGAGGGCATGCTGGGGATTGAATTTAAGGCTTTGTGCATGCTAATAAGCATGTGTTCTACCATTGAGCTATATTCTACCACCTTGTGATCATTTCTAATGTTTCAAATTATAAAAATTAACATTTTTATATAATTTATGTATTTTGTATCAGGTTGTAGAGCTGCAAAATAGATTATCCGATGAATCAAAGAAAGCAGATAAATTAGATTTTGAATATAAGCGGCTAAAAGAAAAAGTTGATGGTCTTCAGAAAGAAAAAGATGTGAGTATGTAATGGGCATTTTGTTTTTCAGAAGTGCTAACATTAAGACTGAAATTTAATTTTTGACTGTATTAATTCCTTCTTTTAATTGTTCTACTTTTAAGTCACAATTTTTCTCTTTTTCTCAGAAATAAATAAAAGCTAGACTAGTTTTACTCCAATTCTCATTTCTCTAATATACATATATTTGTATCATTGGTCTCTCTTTTCTTCTTCCGTTGACTTCCTCTATGTATAGCCCTTCTGTTTGCTGTGTGACTAGTATGGAGAACACTGCTGCACTGTTGTTTAGCATTATTTCTGCTTTTCACAGTTTATGAGTATTTAGTCTTCATCCTGACTCTTTATTGAATGAAAATAATGTTAAGAACATAGTTAAGAGTGGACTAATTAGCTTTGTGCCTCATGCTTAACATGAATGTGTATTACCATGAAATAATAGATACTTGGTATTGTAAAGATAGAAGATAAAAAAGATAATCATTTTCATCTGTTTCTACTTCCATGATCTCCATATAAGATCAAAACTAAAAATAAGCTCATGTCCACTGTTTATCTTTTTCCTGGATAAGGCCTCGATTACTGCTCAGTAAATCTGTAGAGCTGACCTTTGCTTTTATGTTACTTTAGAGGTTAAGAACAGAAAGGGATTCTCTGAAGGAAACCATTGAAGAGCTCCGTTGTGTCCAGGCTCAGGAGGGGCAGCTCACCACTCAAGGTAAAAAAGCCCCTGTAACTCCAGGAGTCTGGCTCGGAAAGTCAGCAAAGGTGTTGGCTTCACTTTAAGATGATTGCACAGACAGATGGCCCAACAAAAGAAAAGGAATGAAATTTTTGAACTGTTAACCAAGATCTTGGTTTACTTAGCAACTTTAAAGCAATTTTGTAATCTCTTGAGTTTACAAGTCACAATCATTTAATGTGACACTCTTATTCTGAAAAATCTCTCATGACTGCTTTAGAAGTATATCAAACTTTCCAAGTTGGTGATTCCTGCAAAAAGTGGAATGGATTTTAAATCATTAAGAAATTTGTATCTAGCCAGGTGATGGTGGTGGTGCACACCTTTAATCCCAGCTCTTGGGAGCCTTGGGAGGCAGAGGCAGGCGGATCTCTGAGTTCGAGGTCAGCCAGGTCTACAAGAACTAGTTCCAGGACAGGCTGCAAAGCTGCAGAGAGACCCTATCTCAAAAAAACTAAAAATTAAATAAGTAAATCAATAACTTGTATGTGGGTTGGAGAGCCTCCTCCAGAGCGCTGGCTATTCTGCAGAGGACCTGGGTTCAGCTCCCAGGACCCACATGGCAGACCATGTAACTCCAGTCCCAGGGAATCCACCATCCTCTTCTGTCTTCTGCAGCACTACAAGCACATGGTACACTGAAAATATGTGAAAGCAAACCACTCATACACATAAAGTACAAAAATAAATCTTTTAAAAAAAAAAAGATTTAGGAATTCTTAAAAGAAAAGCTTTTAAGAAAAACAAAAGCCACATATATATCTTCTTTCTCAAACAAAGGGATTAATGCTTGGCTCAGGATTTGCCCTCTTCTGTGCAACGACGCTTAAAAGAAATCCCACACTAGCTCAGAATTGAGAAATAGATGGTTATTTATTTAGGGGTAAACTCACAAATCAGAATCCTCTGCTTGAACAGAGAACAGAAACCAAATCCAGCGACCAGAAAGGGAGGACGCATGCTCTACATCAGTTCTTGCCGTATAAGATGCCATTCCCAGTGGGCGGGGAACCACTGGCTGTAAGACTTCCTACAGCACTCTTCCCCTCTTTACTCACAGTAGGTGACTGGCAATTCCTGCTACAAGCTTCACTCTTAACCAAACCCTGACTTTTTAGTTACTTGAAACAGTTTTCCATGACTACCCTTGGTTTTCCTCTCCTTGTTCCCACAAAGAACTTCTCTATCTACTTAATTTTATCCCACTCCCCAGTTGTCTGTCAGTCCCCTCTGCTCTGATTCCACTCATGTAAACATCAGCCACTGTGGCCTTGCTGTCATACCTCTCTCTTCTCTCTCCTCTTGGCCTGTTTCCAGACCCTAGTTCAGATAGCCATGGTCCTCTCAACATATAGTTCAGATGACCAGTGCTAGCTGAAGGAGAGAGGGAGAAATATATCCAGAAACATGTATGTACATGCATACATACATACATATATACATACATACATACATTCCTGGTTATCCTCACCAAATGTACAGTATTTCTTAATATAATTGGTTCTTCTTTGTACCCCTGCAATTCTTTAACTTCTTTTCTCATCAGCTCTCCATAAAGTTTTCATAAATTTTTGGAATCTAACTTGAACCTTATCCTCTTTACTCTCAGTTCCCATGTTGTCAAGAAAAAACAGCCTGTCTCTTTTAAGCTCAAGTTTATTATTTGCTATATAAAAATCTACATGGTTGAATGTTTTTGTGAGGTTTTTCCTCTAGAACTGTACCCAAATGATTAAAGAGTAGTTTCTAAGAATAAAATTGCAGAACTACCTGAATGTTTAGCAATATAATTGTGACATTTTTATTCACCAGTAAACTAAGTTACTAAAGAGTAAGGGAGGAAGTGTAATATGCTGGGTGTAGTGGGCAGACCTTTTATCCCTGTAGTAATGAGGTGCGAACTCCTTGTTCTATTCCGCCTGGCTAGCGTACACCCGAAATAATTACACGGAAACTGTATTCATTTAGACACTGCCTGGCCCATTAGTTCCAGCCTCTTATTGGCTAATTCTCACGTCTTGATTAACCCATTTCTAATAATCTGTGTAGCATCACGAGGTGGTGGCTTACCAGGAAGATTCTAACCTATGTCCATCTGGGGCCAGAGCTTTATGGTGTCTGCCTGACTCTGCTTTCTTTCTCCCAGCATTCTGTTTGGTCTACTCTGCCTATCTAAGCTGCTGTCCTATCAAAAGGCCAAAATAGTTTCTTTATTAACCAATGAAAGTAACACATTGACAGATGACCCTCCTACACCAGCTGTGAGTGCAGCTATGTAGAGAAAACACTTCCAGCTCAGTTATAGCTTGATTGTTGTATGTTCTGCATCCAAAACATACAGTGTCTTCACCAAAAGGATCTTACCATTAACAGAGTTCTGGTGAGCAACCAATAAAAACACGTACTGTTTTAAGGGTCTTGGGTCTCACTGACAAATACTTTATAGGTAAGGTTTTGTGGTGGAACTTTTTTTTAAGTTTCTTACATGTAAGATATACATATTTATATATATATATATATGTAAGAATATGCATAATTATGGACACATGAAGGCCAAGAGAGGATGCCCGATCCCTCAGAACTGAAGTTAGAAACATGCATAGGACAACCACCTTGTCGCGTTGATTCCATCTCTCCATCCCTTGTTTTATTTATTTTTAAAAAACTTACAAAGTAGCAGATTTCCTAGTGGCTTTTTCATGCAAACTTTGTTCTAGTCCCCCTCCCTCAGTCTCACTGCCTGCGTCTCTTTCCTCTGCCCATCCCCAGCATTCATTGCATAAGTGTTCTGTTACCCTCTCTCCCTTAAAGCCGCTCAGTTTTCTTAACAGCTGATTTAAAGTTCAAATGTAGCATGCTCTCACGGTCCATCAGTTGAGATGCTGTTGTCAACAGAGCAGCTCTAAACAGAGGTGTGCACGCATCTTTGTTGATAGCATAGAGACTTCCTTGAGTATATGCCCAGGAATGATAAAGCTGGGCTCACATGTTACTTCTGATTTTAGTGTTTGAGGAACCTTCACACTGATTTCCATAGTGGCTATACCAGTGTGCACTTGCACTAACAGTGAATAAGGTTTCTATAGTGGCTGTACCAGTGTGCACTTGCACCAACAGTGAATAAGGTTTCCCCTCTCCCATGTCCAATCTTTTTTTGTCATTTCTTTTTCTTTTACAGTTTTTTGAGACAGGGTTTCTGTCGATTGCGTTGGGTGGGTTACTCAGTCTAGGGGTTTGTAACCCACCCTGCAATCAGTTATTCCAGGGTCTCGGAGGGGCGCTACCTGGAAGGGAATGAGCTAGGACAGAAGAAGGAGGCCAAGCAGATTTGTCAAAGCCTCCGTTTATTAGGGACAGGTTACAGTTTATATATGGTAAGGAATGGGGGGCAGGGCACGGGATCTCGCCGCGTGGTCCCGGTCACGTAGGTCAAGAGGTTACATTCGGACAGGTAGGCCAAGAAGTCACAAGTTGCCACACCTGGTTCCCTGGATAGCTGGAATGTGAGGCTATCACATTCCGCTAACAGATAGCTCTCCATCAACAGCTTAATTGGGTGTGGGGCAGGTTCTCAATAGAACATAATTATGGGTGTGGGGTTCTCTGCAGACTCCCCAGGGTGATGGTTTCTGTAATGATTTTTAGGGGGGAAATGGCTCGTGACAGGTTTCACTGTTTTAGCTCTGTCTGTCTTGAAACTCACTTTGTACCTCAGGCTGGCCTTGAAATTACAGAAATCACCTGCCTCTGCCTCTGCCTCCTGAGTGCTGGATTAAAGGCATGCACCACCACCCAACTGTCATTTATTTTCTTAATTATAGTCTGATTGGTGTGAGCTAGAATATCAAAGTAATTTTAATTTGAACTTATTCCCTTCCTATGTGTATCTCTTTTATTTCCTTCTCGAGTCTTACTGCACTGGCTAAGACCTGCTGTAGTGTACTGAACAAGCGTGGGAAAGGTGTACACCTTTCCTGTTGATAACTTTACTGTAGAACTCCTTCAGGGGCAGATAGAGAGCTCATTGTCAGCCACATGAACAAAATGAAGGGAAAACAGCATCATTTCAGTTTGTACAGAAAAGGGCATTTGACAAATTCCAACACCTACTCATAATTTTAAAAAACTCAGTATGCCAGGAATAGATTTCCTCAACATGATAAAGAAACATTTGGAAAAACCTCAGTGGTGAAAGAATGAAAGTTTTTCCTCTAAGACCAGGGAAAAAACAAAGATATTTGCTATCACCAGTTTTCTTCAGGATAGTATTAAAATTTCTAGCCAGAGCAATTAGGGAAAGGGGAGTAGGGAGGAAGGAGAAAATTGATTGTATATTTTGCATCCAAATGCAGAAGAATGAAACTGACTCAAAGACCAAATATAAGAGCTATTGTAGGGGAACGTTTTTATGACATTGAATTTGAAAATAAGCCCCTGCAATTGGTGCCAAAGGCATAGGCAACAACCAAAAAAAAAAAAAAAATGAATGAAGAGGGTTCTATCAATACTGAAAATGTTAATGCACCAAAACACTAGAGTAGAGTAGGGCAGAAGATCTACAGAGTGGAAGAAAGTATTTGCATTTGCAGATATCTGAGTGAATTAATATCCAGGGACTGGAGAGATGGCTCAGTGGTTAAAAGCATAGGCTGCTCTTTAAGAGGACCGGGGTTCATTTTCCATCAACCACGAGGCTGTTCTTAACCATCTGAAACTCAGTTCCAGAGGATCCCATGCCCTCTTCTGGCTACTCCAGATGCTCAGAACACACATGGTACACAAATATAGAGTGCAGGGTGATTTTTCTGTCTTCTGCATATGATCTCATACATGTACACGAATATATGATGTGCACAGAGAGAATATCCAGGCTATCTGAAAATTTTATAAAAATTGAACAATAATAAAAATAAAAACTATTCCACACATGAACAAAGGATTTGAATAGAAAGAACTATATATCTCTAAGGAAGATAAACAGATGGCCAGTAAACACATGAAATAGTGATATCATTCAGGGTTCACTAGATAAAGGCAAAGCAATCAATGAGTTACCACAAACTAATTAGTGAGGCTAATGTTTTTCCCACTACCACCATGACCCCAAGGAAAGAAATTGGTTGGGAGTAATTGAACCATTATGCATCACTGGTGGGATGGAGTAATGCTGTGGAAATAAAATTGATAGCGTTTAAAAATGTGTAAGCAGGGGAGACGGCGGTGGGGAAGAGACAGAAATCTTTAATAAATTAATTAATTAATTAATTAAAAAAATAAAAAAAATTTATTTACACAACTTCTAAAAAAAAATAAAAATAAAAATGTGTAAGCAAAATAAGATGTGATTCATCAGATCCACGTGTAAGTACATCACTAACGGAACTGAAGTGCATGAGGCCAGATAATTGTACACATACAGCATTACTGTATATACACACTATACAATTACATACACATAACCTTATTCACAGTCACCACAAACTAGAAACAATGCACATCTGTCTGAGCTTAGATACAGTAAATGCACACAATGGAATATTATTGAACAGTAAAAGCAAGAAAGTTCTGCAAAATGCTGTAATGTGGACAAGTCATCAAAGTATTGTGCTAACTGAATAAAAAAGATCAATACATGATCTGCTTACATGTCTAGGCAAGCAACACATTAACACAGACAGACTAAAAATAAAATTGAGGGGGGTTGGGGATTTAGCTCAGTGGGCCCTGGGTTCGGTCCTCAGCTTCAGAAAAAAAAGAAAGAAAGAAAAAACAGAAAAAAAAATAGAATTGAGGTTACCAAGGAATTTCGGGCAGGACGATTGGAATAATCTAATTGTTATAGAGTTTCTGACTGAGTTATTAAATAGTTGGAAACAGATAATAGTAATGGCTAGACAACATTGAAATGTACTTAATGGTATGTAGTTGGACCGTTACAGTTGTTTTAATGATAAGTTAATTTTGTAAGTCTACTTTAACTTTTACTTGAGAAAACTGGTGATTTTTGCCTAGCATCCACAGAGCCAGATTCAAGTATTAATACCATAAAACAACAATCTAAATAAAATTTAAAAACAACTTTGAATTCTTTAGCTGTTAAAATTCATAGTCAAGGTTGTGCTCTCCTGCAAAAACTGTATCTCTTAAGCAAAGGAGGTAGCCGTGCTTCCTTAACTGTATACTTCTCTGTGTATTTATAGGGTTAATGCCTCTGGGAAGCCAGGAATCTTCAGACAGCCTCGCAGCAGAGATTATTACACCCGAAATCAGGTAAAGAGGGTAACAGTGACAGTCAGTCCCTCCACACAATGTCCTTGTAGAGAACTTACTCTCTGGTGGAAAAAGAACTAGCTCCTCTTTTTGATGGACATTTCAGTCTGAACTCAGTATTAAATTTCCATGTTTTCAGTACTTTAGAAGCTTTTTAAATTGTCAAGAGAACGAATTATTTTTACTTGAATGAGGCAGTCTTTCACACTACAAAAGCAAAACTCACGTATCCCATTTTGGAACCTCAGCAGACAGCGTGAAAGTACTGAAGACAAAGGTTGTACTTAGCTATCCCCCTAATAAACAGTTAATTACTAAGATTCATCTATCAACCACAAGGTGCACATAGAGGAACTCTCCCCTCAGTATTCCTCACCTGTTATCTAGGCGTAGCTCAGAGACTTCGTCTCCTTCAGTTTATTTCTCAGCATTATGAATATGACTGAAAAATGAGGAGGGGGAGCAAGTGTGCAGAAGGTAATGATTAAGTCTGAACACTGCTTTACTTTTGAACCGGTTTGTCATTGTCTTTATCATATGTTGTCCGTCAGGTCCCATCTTAATGCTGTGCGTTTTCTGTATTCTGTGTGTGCGCACGTGCGTGCTCACTCCAGCCATAGCTCATGTTTAGAGGCTAGAGGACATCTTGGGAGTTGGTTCTCTCTCTCCACCTTGGAATCCTGGAATCAGACTTGGCTGTCAGCCATCTCCCCTGCCCCTTATGTACCTTTTACTTTTCACCATCTGGGAACAAATGAAATTAGTTGAATGAAGGCATACTTATTCTTTGTAAGTATTTATAAATGAATGGCCATATCCTTTACTCCAAAAGCAGTTAAGGAAGCCTGTTACAAAGGTTTGTTACGCTAAAAAGGAGCAGTGATAACTCACAGCTGTGGCTCCTCTGCATGTGATTGGGGATAGCTTAAGTCTGCTCTATACCCTAAAGAGCTAATAAGAAGATGATATCAACAGTGATGAAAACTTACCACATATACCACAGACAGTGAGTTAGCATTTGACATTTTCACTCATGTTAGGGTTTTGGAGGAACTAGAAGTGGGGAAAAATGTCTTTAGAACAAATTGAAGAACATGTCTTATAGTAGAAATGTCCCCATCTTTTAACTGAAAATTTGCTTTTCTGGTAAATAATCTTAAGGAAATAGTCAACAATATACACAAAGGTATTTTATAAGGCCACTCATTATTAAAATACTAAAAGCATGAAATGGGGCTGGAGAGATGGCTTGGTGGTTAAGAGCACTTCCTGCTCTTCCAAAGGTCCTGAGTTCAATTCCCAGCAACCACATGGTGGCTCACAACCATCTGTAATGAGATCTGGTGCCCTCTTCTGGCCTGCAGGTGGAGTACTGAGAATAGTGTATACATAATAAATAAATAAATCTTTAAAAAAAATAAAATAAAATAAAATAAAAGCATGAAATGTATCATCTAAATAAGTAATGGTTGATTTATCTTTTAGTGCTGTGTTATTTAAATTTTCGAGATACAATATTAAAAGATTGGAATTCTAAGTGTAACTAGCAAGCGCCAGTACAAAATGTGTTTTTGAGGAATAAATACCTGTCTGTATGTATATACACAGAATTAGAAGGTTGAATTTCATCAACAATCATGTTTTGCACTATATAGTTAGAGTCATGTTCATAGTTTAAATATTTAAAGAAGGGAAATAGGATTTGGAATTTTCTTTGTCCTTTGTCATGAAACACAGAAACTGTTTCTTCAGGATGTACATTCTAGAAGGAGTTTAGTTCATTAAAGGTGATATTAGTTTTTCATTTGTATCCTGTGTATTGACACTCCAGCTTTATATATCTGGATCATGATTCACACAGCGTCTTAATGAACTAGATAATCAGCTTTTATTTTTCTCATTCAGGGAGAAACTTATTCGTCTACAGCATGAGAATAAGATGTTAAAAATCAATCAAGAGGGTTCAGACAATGAGAAAATAGCCTTATTGCAGAGCCTTCTAGATGATGCAAACCTACGCAAGAATGAGCTGGAGACAGAGAACAGGTAGAGTCAGTCACAGCTTCTCTTTCGGGGCCTTCATTTTGGGATTTCTAAAGAAAGGCTTATGATTCATTTGAAAAAGATTATATGCTAGTATTTTTTCTTGCTTTTGTTTTAGTTATAATTAAACATTTCTTCTTTTTCATCTCTCTAAATCCTCTCCTCCCCAAGCTCCTCTTCTCAAGGCCTCTTCTTTCACTACTTGTTACTGCATGTGTGTATATGTATGTTTGTACATATATATTCCTAAATAAAAGCTGCTCAGCATGTATAATGTTACTTGTGTGTTTGTTTTCAGGGCTGAACATCTGTCACTGTACAGCAGCCAGTCATGTGCTCTTCCCTGAAGGGCCACCTCCCACTCCCAGCTTTACTTAGTTGCCTACAGTTTTTTGTGTAAAGCTGAGGCCCCATGGGATTTTCCCCATCCACTTTGGCATGTCCATTGGTGTTGTCTTTGTTCAGCTATATTTCTTTTTGAGTTTATTTAATCTGTTTGACATAGGGTCTCTGTAGCTGGTGACTTTTCTCTGTCCTGCCCGGTCCCCCGCAGCCACTTATCAATGTTGAGAGGCTTAATGTTAATTATAATTGTTTGGCCGTTGACTCAGACTTCTTACTGACTAGCTCTACATATTAACCCATTTCTAATAATCAGTGTATTGCCACATGCCCTGCAGCTTACAGATACTGTTCTGGCATCTTATTCTTTCAGGTGGCTGCTAGCATCTCCCTGACTCCATCCTTTTGCTTCCTGTATCTTTTTTTGGATTTCCCACCTGACTATTCTGCCTGGCTATTGGCCAAATCAACTTCTTTATTAACCAGTGGTAATAAAACATATTCACAGTATACAGAGAGATATCCCACATCAGGTCTCACTATGTAGTCCTGGCTGGCCTGGAACTCAGCTACCTGCCTGTACTAGTATTAAAGCCTGTGTTACCATCCCTGGTAACATATAGAGAGAGGATTAAGAAATACCTGATTCAGGCCTGGAGAGAGGGCTCAGTGGTTAAGAGCACTGACTGCTCTTCTAGAGGACCTGAGTTCAGTTCCCTTCAGCCATGGTGGCTCAAAGCTGTTTGTAGGTCCAGTTCCAGAGGATCCATAACAGTCACACAGACATACATGCAGGTCAAACACCAATGCACATTGAATAAAAATCAAATAATTTTTTTAAAAAAATATATCTGATACATTTGCACTTTTTTACAGCAATTGTAGTTCATGAACTCTTTTTTGTTTTGTTTTGTTTTCCAAGATAGGGTTTCTCTGTGTCACAGTCCTGGCTGTCCTGGAACTCAGTTTTTAAACGAGGCTGACCTCAAGCTCACAGAGGTTACAGAGCTGCCTCTGCCTCTCTAGTGCTGGGATTAAAGGTGTGCGCCCACTGCCCAGCTCAGTTCATGAACTCTTTATACAAACTAATGTTTGAAAGGATCTGCTGGTATGGAGTTCAGTTAATAAAGTATTTTTTCCCTTATTTATTTTTTGTCATGACCATAAAAGAAATTTTTTTCTCCCAAGTGCAATTCATTTATTTTGAAAATTTAAACTATGTTAGATTAACAAAAAATTGCATTTCTGCTGTAAGTTTTCCATATCTCAGTGTTACACAGTGTTTCAGAGTCAGTTACTATAAAATTAGTATGTTGTTGTTGCTTTTTGTTTGTTTGGTTTTTCAAGACAGTATTTCTCTGTGTAGCTCTGACTGTCCAGGAACTTGATCCGTAGACCAGGCTGACCTCAAACCCAGATATCCTCCTGCCTCTGTCTCACAAGTGCTGGGATTAAAGGTACATGCCACCACACCCATCTTGGGAAATGTTTCCTAACTGACAAAAGTCTACAGTGGCATCATAGATTTAAAAAAAAAAAGCAGGAAAGAGGAAAGAGAAAGCGAAAGTGAGGTGGTGTTACTTTGCTTTGTTTTGTTTTCTGGCACAATGTATACCAGGCTGGCCTCAAGTTCACTGTGTGTCTTTCTAACTTCTGACTTTCCTGCCTCTACCCCCAAGTGTTGGGAACCACAGGCATGTGCCACTCTGCCTGGCTATACAGTACTGGGGATGGAGCCCAGGGCCTTATGCATCGAGGCAAGCGCTCTACCAGCTGAGCTATATCTCCAGCCAAAAAGTGAAATTTTAAATATAAAAAATAATATGGAAAGTAATCTTTACTTATGAAACTGTGAGTGTCCTATTGCAGTTATGCAATGCTACTGCAACCTGATGCTTTCAGTGAAATCATTATGACAGCCCAACGGGAAAAAGTATATGTAGAGGATTGATATGTGTTTGCTTTGCAGGCTGGTGAATCAGAGACTTCTAGAAGTACAGTCACAAGTAGAAGAACTGCAGAAATCTTTGCAGGATCAAGGCTCAAAAGCAGAAGATGTAAGTTTTGATATGTACCGACCATGCTTCAAAAGTTTCACAGCTAAGAAAACTTATAATTTTGACACTTTCTCAAACAAATTTATGGGTATGAGTTGTGGAGGCATGTGCTTGTGTGGAGTCCCAGGAACGGGTCATTACACCTGCTGACAGTGGTCTTTACCATTGAACCATCTCTCAGGCTCATCTTCAGTGTTTTATTTGATTTCTAATAATTTGGCATTATACTGGTTATAGGGAAGAAATACTGTGTTCCTTTTTGCTGGCATCCTTATTTAAAAGTCCTGTTTTAATTGACGCTGCTAAGTTTACTTGTGTTTATCAGGCAAGATAAACATCGAAGCTCTACATCTTAAATGTGCTCAATTCATAGGGAAATGAAAGGTTTCCCCCTCAGGTCAAAAAAAATTGTAAAGATATGCCCAAGAAGAATTTTTAATATAAACTGATAATTAATCACCTCTGAGTTTCTGAATCCATTCTTTATGCATATATATATTGTTTTAGCATTTTCTACATATCTCTGTCTTAGCTCTCCTGTGCTATTGGCACGTTCTTACTGGAATATGGTACCTATGCTGATAATGACATACATCATCTCTGCCCACTAACCACCTTTCACAGTGCTAGGATGCCTAGTAGACATCTCTGACAACAGTAAACAAGTTGTAATTGGCAGAGTCTTTATATTGAATAAAACATACACAATAAAAACTAAAGCACAAAAAAGAACAGTTTAAAAAATAGGGAAATTAAATATTACTCAATCAGTCTTGTTTCTCTGTTGTCAGTGCAGTTTCCTATGCTCTCAGACATTGGATTTCATACTCTCTGGGTTGCTTCATTGATGCAGCCAGCTGGAGAAATCTCCAGCCTTATTAACATAGGAACAACTGAAAAGGAAAGGAAAGAGAGTTAAGTGAATTACTTTTAAAGTTTGGGAATATTAAATATAAAAGCCCTTGAGGCCTCAAACTTAGTTTTCTAAGTTTCTCTACACATATATCTTATTTAGGTTGCCATTGTGCCCTGTATTTTTGGGAGGTTTGGGGTTTTTGTTGTTGTTTTTTGTTTGTTTGCTTTGGTTTTTCCACACAAGGTTTCTCTGAGCTTTGGAGCCTGTAGACCAGACTGGCCTCGAACTCACAGAGATCCACCTGCCTCTGCCTCCTGAGTGCTGGGATTAAAGGTGTGCATCACCACCACTTGGCAATTTAGTTTATTTCTTAATAAGTTGGTAATTGTTTCAGTTCACAACTGCTGTCATTTTTAACAACCATACACCTTTATGAAAATGGGACTAGATAAAAATGCCAAGTATTTCTTTTGTTTTTTATCCAAAGTGAGTTCCAGAACTATTTGACAGAGAAACCCTGTCTCGAAAAACAAACGAAGTGTGGGTCTGAGATTCAAACAGGTGTTCTACCACTGAGCCAAACCCCTGACCCAGTGTCATGATTTAAAAACAATCCATCAAACAAAACATGTTTAAATGATAAATCTCCAAAAACTGGAATTAGTGCACTGAAATAAGAAAGCCTACTTAACAGTGTTTTAGAGGTAGCCAGCCATAGGATGTAGTATTTCTTTCTTCATATGGTTTCTAGATTCGTTTAAACAAAATAAATAAAAGTTAATTTGGGTTTGGAAACTTGAAGGTTACTTTTGTGGATTTGTTTTATTAGAAAGGGGAAGAGAGGGTGGCACACCGCGTGTAAGCACCGTGAGTGGCCTGACTGAATGTCATAGTGTAGTAAAGACCGTGTGTGTGGTTCTTTTGCTTAAATTAAAACATTAGGGAGTTGTTTTTTAAGTGGCTTGGGGCAGCCTAGTTATGTATCACTGTGGTAAATCTACTTAAATATATTATGAACAATTGCTGTAGGGGATTATATTTCAGTGGTAAGATGCCTTCCCTGTCAGATATTTGCATAAAGTGGTCACCTTTTAACTACCTAAGTAGTAATGAGATGTCTCCCTATAAGCTAAGAAAAATTCCCTTCCATGTTCTTCTCTGCCGACAAGACTCAGGTGGAAATTGTTCTGTTTTGAAGACTCCAGATTCCATAGAGAAATGGTTTAATTCAGGGCATGTAGTTCTTTTGACCCCATCAGATTTTTTATGTTTTTCTCTTTATTTTTCTCCCCTATGATCCATAGTGTTGTATCTCAGGAGTGTGATACATAGAGCAGCCTCTAGACTGGATTCATCCCCTCTGAAGAAGAACACATAATTGCTGCTTTTTCTCTTATCAAAACAGTCTTTTCTTATAACCTTAAGTCAGAGCATGCTGGTTTGCACATTTTTATTATTATTTTATGTCATTTGTTTTTAGCATGGAAGCAGAAATGCATTGTTATATCCAGTCATATGGATAATTTGAGCTAGCCACAGTATATAAAACTGCAGAGAACAAGACAGGCTGAGGAGACCAGAGAAGAAAGAAAAATGTACAATTCTGAAAAAAATGCATATCTTTTACTTCTGTTCATGAATTACTAAATCGTTCCTTCTCTTGGCTGCTGTGTTTGCTTCATACTAATATGTGCTCTCTGTCTCTTGGCATGGTTTCTGCTCAAGGCTATTGTAAGTATGGCTTCCTATTCATTTCCATATACTTAGCAGTTTTTAGATTGTATACTTTTATCTGATATTATAGGTAGTGATACTGAAATTTCAAAGTAGGATTCGTGAAAAATGAACATTCTAATACTTGCTTTCTAAGTATATGCTCCTTACAATTAAAATTCTGAAAGTACATCCAAACCTTAGTGGATGTACTCCCTTTGCTTACTTCTGCTCTGCCCCTTATATTAGTCCATGGATAATAGCTGACCTTAATACAAGCTTCCTTTTATAATCTAGTCTCCTCCAACCACACGTGTTGATAGTTATAGTCTTCAATTTGGAGAGGCACTGCAACATAGAACACAAGGAAAGGGAGGCTATTCAGAGGGTTTGGGTCTCTGCTGTACTGGACTTTAGTTTTCGTATGTTACTTAAGGTACTAAATTGCTGGCCCTCAGCTTCCTCAGTTGTACAACAGGGTTAATATTACTATTGTGAGGTATCTGGCTTATTAACTTGTATTTAGTTGTTTTACTATATAATATGTAGCGATTTCAAAGTAATTTGTTAAGATCTAATCAAAACAAAATTAAGAACTTTCAGTATTTCCATTTCATCCTCTCAGCACAAAGAGAACAAACAATTATTTTAAAACAAAGATTAGAAGATTATTATCTTTTAATAAGATATCTACTTTTATAAACCTTTTAATAAGATATCTTATTAGAGGTATCATGTATCTTATAAGAAGAACACATAATTGCTGCCTTTTCTGTTATCAAAACAGTCTTTTCTTATAACCTTAAGTCAGAGCATGCTGGTTTGCACATTTTTATTATTATTTTATGTCATTTGTTTTTAGCATGGAAGCAGAAATGCATTGTTATATCCAGTCATATGGATGATTTGAGCTAGCCACAGTATATAAAACTGCAGAGAACAAGACAGGCTGAGGAGACCAGAGAAGAAAGAAAAATGTGTAATTCTGAAAAAAAAAGCATATCTTTTACTTCTGTCATAAAATATAAATAATATCTTTTTTAGATAGTTAAGACATAATATCTCTGAAAAGATATCGCGATAAAAGTAAGGATATTGTCTTTCTATACGTCTGTGAAAATAGTGGTAGAGGATGTTGGTCTGATTACCATTACCACAGAGAGTGTTGAAATAAGGAGCGGCAGGGCTGCGTCCCCAACACCCCAGCCTCTTGGCTAGCTCATGCCCGAAATAACAACACACAAACTGTATTCATTTAAAGAACTGCTTGGCCCATGAACTCTAGCCCTTACAGGCTAATTCTCGCACCTGGACTAGCCCATTTCTAATGATGTGTGTAAGCACCCCAAGGTGCGCTTACCGGGAAGATTCTAGCCTACATCCATCTTCATCGCGTATGCCTCAGAGAGCAGAGCTATCGCGTCTACCCGGGAGAGCTGAGCATGGCGTCTGTGCTCCCGAGCTGTCGGCTCTCTCCCCGGAAGCCGAGCAGAGTCTGACCTCACTTCCTCTTCCGCCCAGAATTCTATTCTGTTTACTCCTCCCATCTATGTTCCAAGCCATGAGGCCAAGCAGCTGGTTTATTATAACTTAACCAATGAAATCAACAGATTGATATATGACACTCCCACATCAAGAGAGAGATGTGAATTTGAAATTTTCTAAACCTGTTGTAGAATTGATTGAATAAACTCAAGCCTGATGATGCACACCTAGAATCCCAGGCCTCCTGCTTTTAGGAGGAAGGTCATGAGTTCAGGGGCAAACTGGGTTCCACGTGTGGTGAGTCCCAGGCCATTTCTAAATGACAGGAAGTGGGTAAATGTGAGTTAATATATATAGTGATCATCACTAAACAGGGTAGCTAAAAATTGAAGAGGTTTTCTCTCTCCTCATTGCTATTATTAAACAATCAAGCAGTGTGTTTTATAAGCCTACATTAATTGGTTTTGAGTGTCATTTATCACATAATTCCAAACTCTCTATTAATATTTACCCTTGTAAGTGTTACACTGTGAGACTTGGTGGTCCTTTTTATTACTTATTTTATGTAAGTTTTAACTTCTTGCTTTTCAGGAAGTTAAAACTTTAAAAAAAAAAAAAAGTTACCCAGTCAAAACTTCATCCTCAGTACCCTAACATCTTACCTTTCTATTTCCCGTGCCATGATCTACATTACTTGTCCGCAGTTAAATGTGGCAGTGAACCTGGGACTGCCGTAATGCCAAGAAAGCGGCGTAAAAAGTGTGTTACATTAGGGGACTATTTGGATACTGAGTCCAGGAATATCTGGGTCTCTATATAAATTGGGAATTTATATCTGTGTGTTTTTTACTGTGGCTGCTCTCACTTCTGGGCTGCTCTCCTCTTGAAGAGGACTGTAAATTGAGGTACATTGGGTTTTGAGCTCTTTGACCAAAGAGATTACTGATAGCTTACTCCAAGTTATTTACTGTATATACTTTGATTTTTACAAAATAATTTGTTAGTTAAAATGTTAAATAATGAGCTAATTTTTTATTTTCCACTTTCAGTCAGTTCTTCTAAAAAAGAAGCTTGAAGAACATCTGTAAGTAGAAAATTTGTTGAGGTTCTTCACATTACAGAACAAAAGCTCTTTGTGTTGTGGATACAGACTGTGTAGTCAGTGGCATAAGGTCATTGAAGATACAGGGAAGTACCACTTGTTAGTAGTGTCTACAGGACCATTTCCACCCAAATCCTGCACATCAGTTCAGTGACTGTGAGCTGGGCATGGTGGCTCATACCTGCAATCCAGAAACCAAGGCAGGAGAATTACTCCTGGTTTCAGGCCAACTTGGACAACAGTGTGAGACTCCTTCTTAGAAAGGAGCCTTTATCTGTGACAGGCCAGATAGTAATTATTTGAGGCTGTATGAGTCCTGGCCTCTGTTACAGCCACTCAGCTCCAAAGCAGCTGTAGACAATGTTAAACTAGTTAGAACTGTGCTGCAGTAGAACTTCACATACGGGAACAGGCACCCCTCTAACTGCCCCATAGACTGCAGCTCGCCAGGCATTGATTCTTCTATAAGCAAACTTTTTTAAAAATATAATTTTACTAGTTCTTTGAGAATTTTATACAATGTTTTTTGATCATCTCCACGCCCCCACACCTTCCCCTAACGCTTCTCCTACCCCCCTCTACTTCATGTCTTTTTTGTTGGTTTTTGGTTTTTTGTTTGTTTGCTGGTTGATTGGTTATCAGATGTCCTGGGCCTCTGGCTCTTACAATGTTTTTTGTTTTTTTCATTTTATATTTCAACCAGTTTTCCTTCCCACCCCTCCTTCTTCCCAGTTGATTGAGTACATCTCTGTAATCTTCATCTTTTGTTAGTTTTGATGCTGTATTGATAAACTCCTGACTTCCTTTGTTTTGCATTAAACTATAGTCTGTTTACCTTTGTTTCATAGTGCTTGTGTGCAGTGCAAGTGTATGCGAAAGTAATGAATTTTTAGTTCAGATGAAAAAAGAATATAGAAACAAGGGTTGAGCATGTACTTAGAGGTGGAGAATTTGCATAGCATGTATGAGGCACTAAATTGGATCTCCAGCACAGGAATGAAAAACAGAAGTGATGATATGATCATATATCTTGTTGCAGAGAGAAGCTGCATGAAGCCAACAATGAATTACAGAAAAAGAGAGCCATAATTGAAGATCTCGAGCCAAGATTTAACAACAGCTGTGAGTTTTTCCTAATAGCATCATTATCTGATGTGGGAGTGTCATATCAATCTGTTGATTTCATTGGCTGAGCAATAAAGAAACTGCTTGGCCCTGATAGGTTAAAGCATTGGTGGGAGGAGTAAACAGAATAGGATGCTGGGCGGAAGAGGAAGTGAGGTCAGACTCTGCTCTCTGGAGCAGAGACGCCATGCTCAGCCCTCCCAGGTAGACGCGATAGCTCTGTGCTCTGAGGCAGACACATGAAGCTCTCCCAGGATGGACGGAGGCTAGAATCTTCCCGGTAAGCGCACCTTGGGGTGCTTACACACATTATTAGAAATGGGCTAAATTAATATGTGAGAATTAGCCTGTAAGGGCTAGAGTTCATGGGCCAAGCAGTTCTTCCAATGAATACAGTTTGTGTGTTGTTATTTCGGGCCTGAGCTAGCCAAGCGGCCGGGGTGTTGGGGACGCAGCCCCGCTGCCGCTCATATTTCAACAATTAGCTGTGCAGCATTCTGTAGAATGAATTTATGTAACTTGTTTCTTTTTTAAATACGCCTTTTAGTTATTCTAGCAACTAAGAATTTCCCCTATGGCTGGAGAAGATGATGTGTCTTTCTGGGTCTGGGTTACCTCACTCAGTATGATGTTTTCTAGCTCTATTCATTTTCCTGAAAATTCAAGTTGTCATTTTTTTCTGCTGTGTAGTTCTCCATTGTGTAAATGCACCACATTTTCCTTATCCATCCTTTGGTTGAGGGACATTTAGGTTATTTTCAGGTTTGGGCTATGACAAACAAAGCTGCTATGAACATAGTTGAGCACACGTCCTTGTGGCACTATTGAGCATCCTTTGGATATATACCCAAAAGTGGTATTACTGTGTCTTGAGGAAGGTTGTTTCCTACTTTTCTGAGAAATTGTGACACTGACATCCAAAGGGGCTGTACCAGCTTGCACTCACCAGCAATGAAGGAGTGTTCCCTTTTCCCCACAACCTCTCCAGCATAAGTTGTCATCGCTGTTTTTGATCTTGGCCATTCTTACAGGTGTAAGATGAAATCTCAGAGTTGTTTTGATTTGCATTTCTCTGATGGCTAAGGATGTTGAGCATTTCCTTAAGTGTCTTTCATCCATTTTAGAGTCCTCTGTTGAGAGTTCTCTCTTTAGCTCTCTACTTTTTTATTGGATTATTTGTTCTTTTGATGACCAATTTCTTGAGTTCTTTATATATTTTGGAGATCAGACCTCTGTCTGATGTGGGGTTGGTGAAGATCTTTTCCCATTCTGTAGGTGCCATTTTGTTAATAAATAATTAAATATAATGTTATTAAAATCTAATTTTTTTTTACGGACATCTTTTTTTCAGCCTTAAGAATTGAAGAATTGCAAGAAGCTTTACGGAAGAAAGAAGAAGAAATGAAGCAAATGGAAGAGCGCTATAAAAAGTACTTGGAGAAAGCCAAAAGTGTGAGTATGAACCTGTAACTATCTCACTGTACATTCCAGAGAGGGTTTTCTCTAGCCTGGAAGTGTAGTGTCCAATAATCAAAGAAATCGAAGCAGAAAAAGATCCCAAGTAAGTTAGTGTCAAAATAGATCACTCCACAAATTGAATAGCAAGAGGACAATGCACCTATGTAAGAAATAGCTGACAGCCACAGCTGTAGCCAGTACTTAGAGTTAACAACACAGGAAAGAAGAAGAACAAAGCTGAATGAGATGTCTCTATGCGCAGACAGGAACCAGTACGACAAGAGTCGGTTCTTCTGTTGTTTGGGTTCCAGGGGAGGCACTCATCAGGCCTGGCATTTAGCATCTCCCTCAGCCAAGAGCACAGGCTGATGAATGACATAAATGTGTGAAAATGCCATGATAAAAAAAAGACCCTGTTAAGTTATGGGTTGACTTTAAGAGTTAAGGTTAGAGAGATGACTCAGCAATTGAGAGCATTTGCTACTCGTGCAGCCCCAGGTTCAGTTCCCAACACCCACAAAGCAGATCACAACTGTCAGTTACTCCAGTTCCAGGGGCTCCAGTAGCTCCAGTGGACACCAGGCATGCAGGTGATACACATGCATACATGCTGGAGAGACCCTCGAACTCATATAAATGAATAAATCTTTAGTTTTACTAAAAATGTAAAGGGCTAGCGAGATGGCTGAGTGGTTCAGAGAGCTTGGTATTGCAGGGAGCCCAGGTTTAGTTTCCAGCACCCCCATGGTGCTCACAGTTGTCTGTAACTCCAGATTCCAGACACCTTCTCTTCATCTCCTCAGTCACATGGTACACACAGTCACATGGTACACACAGTCACATGGTACACACAGTCACATGATAGACAGCCATGTATGCCTGCTGAGAATCAAACCCCTCAAAATAAAGAAATTTGTTTTTGTTTTTAAAGACAGGGTTTCTCTGTGTTACAGCTCTGGCTGTCCTGGAACTCACTGTGGAGACCAGGTTAGCCTCAGCCTCACAGAGATCCACCTGCATCAGCTTCCCAAGTGCTGGGATAAAAGGCATACACTACCACACCTGGCTAAAATAAATCATTTTTACAAAAAAAAAAAATACTTGAATAAAAAGTATTAACAATGTACAGTGCTACAGCCAAGATTTGGTGCTTCCTGATGGAATATCACTGTCATCAGTGATTAACCTGAATCAAAGTGTCTTTTAGATCTTTCTTCACACCATGAAGCTGTTTGAACAAGTTAACTAGCACCTTTAGGTGGGACTGGAGGGATGGCTCAGCAGCAGCTGTCTATATCTGCAATCCCATTGGATCTGATTTCCTTTTCTGATATGTCTACCTACATGTAAACAAAACACCTATATACAGAAAATAATTCTTTTTAAAAGTAAATAAGTAATACCTTTAGGAAACTGTCAGATAATCCAAAATTGGGGTTAAAAGTCAGTATTATGAGAGCTAAGCAGATGGCTCAGTGGATCAGGCGCTCAGTGCACAAACAGGGAATGGAAATGTCATTTCAGATCCAGGAGTCACATAAAGCTGGGCATGGGTGCACACATGAATAACCTCTGCTCTGAGAGGTGAGACACAGGACCATCTCAGACTTACCAGCCAGTCAGTCTAGCCAACATGGTAAAGTCCAGATTCAGTAAGAGGCACTCTCTCAAAAACTAAGGTGGAGCATGATCAAAGGCCCCCAACAGTGGCCCCTGACTGCCACATGTCATCCTGTGCTGAGCTCCTGGAACCCTGTCTAGGATTGACAAGAGAATCACAGACACACACACACAGCAAAGTTGAGATCAGGTGGGAATTTCTAACTGCTGCAACCCAGAACCTCATTGTTTTTATTAAGCCCAGGAGAAGGGTTAGCTAGTCTTGGAAGGAGATCTCTATAGTTGTGCAGTCTCAGGTTGTAAGTATCTGGAAGGAGGAAGCCATAGTTGCTAGTCTTTGCACACACTGATCAATCATTTATACACACTCATGCTTGGATATCCCCTGGGGAAACTCTTCTACTCCTCTTTCACGTAGTCCATATGGGCACTAGCTTTGGGCCAATTGGTCTCTTGAGTTCTTAGGTCAGTATCATACTAAAAAAAAAAAAAAAAAAAAAAAAGCGGGGGAGTAGAATAAAGGAGTATGTAGGAAGCTGTACTGCATTAAAAGGAATTCTGCTTGCCAGGTGGAATGCATAAGTCTTTGAGTCCTGAATTGAGAACAGAGAATCACTTTTAAGAGACGCTTTGGCCAAGTAATATCAGCTACTTCTTAAGACCAAAGCAGGTGGATTGAAAGTTCAAAACCATCCTGAACAATTTACTGAGACTGTTGTCTCAGAATAAAAGGTATAATAAGATCTAGGCCGGGCGATGGTGGCACACGCCTTTCATCCCAGCACTCGGGAGGCAGAGGCAGGTGGATCTCTGTGAGTTCGAGACCAGCCTGGTCTACAGAGCTAGTTCCAGGACAGGCTCCAAAGCCACAGAGAAACCCTGTGTCGAAAAACCAAAAATAAATAAATAAATAAATAAATAAGATCTAGGGATACATGCCTCATAGGTAGAGCGCTTTCCTAGCATGCGCAAGGCTAAGACCCCAATCCCTCCTACTTGTAAAGGACTAAATAGACTAAATTCTGGCCATTTTACAGAATTATTATTTTCTTACAGGTGGTGGTAGCATTGTGATTATGAAGTTAAAAAAAAAAGCCTAGGGCTAGGCACACTGAAGTACTTAAGGGTTGTATTCACTGGGACTGTGAATTATTTCTAGCACCTAAGAGTGTTAGGGGAGATCAGATATGACAGAGTAGCAACTGTTGAATCTAGGTTAAAAATAATAAATGGGTTTGAACTATTTGGAGGTCTATGTGTTTGAACATTTTGGTAGTAAAACTATTGGTGGAGAACAAAACTACCTCTTCCCCAGAAATCCTGTAATAAGTCAGATAGAATTACATTCAGTGTTCATGCCTCCACCATATTACTGACAGAAGAGACAGGCCTGCTTAGGATTCACCCTTGTGTGTCTTTCTGTTTACATGTCCAGGACTAGCCAAAATAAAATAGAAAAGAGCTGTGGATAGCATCTCTCTAGCAGTGCTCAGTAATTCAGAATTGATTCTTCCATCTGTATCATTGAAAAGTTAGGCAATTTTATTTCATACACTTAACCTTTTATAAGTGTCCTTAATAGCTTTTGAGTGTTATTTTCCTTTTCTGGTTTGTTTGATTGGGGTAGGGATAAGAATCAAACACAGAACTTCATGCATGCTAAGATAGTGATAGCTATAGCTCTAGATTAGATTAGAGCTATAGCTCTAGCCATTAGATTCTCTGACCCCTACCCACAGTACTGGGGACGGAACCTAGGGACCCATGCATGTTAGGTATGTACTGTATCACCTGTATCACTGGGTTGTATCCTTTGCCTGATTTTCATTTTTAAGACTGCTTTCTTAGATGCTACATTCTGTAAGTTTGAGGAGTTGAAGTTTGAGTTTTGGGGGATTTGTTGTTTAGGTTATATATGTGAACTTATATGTGTACTTAAGTTTTTCTTCTATATTTGCAGGTTATTCGTACATTAGACCCTAAACAGAATCAAGGAGCAGCACCAGAAATACAAGCTCTTAAAAACCAACTGCAGGAACGGGATCGACTGTTCCACTCATTAGAGGTCAGTTAGTACGCCGTGCAATAAAATACTGAGGTTTTTAGCTTTTTCAGAGACCCTTGCTATATTATATATTGTAACCTTGGGTTAGGCGGTTAATTGTAAGTATCTTCCTTATGTTGAATTCATTTGTATCTTTACATGTGGTTGTGCTTCAGAAAGAATATGAGAAGACGAAGAGTCAAAGAGACATGGAGGAGAAATACATTGTTAGTGCCTGGTACAATATGGTAAGAGAAGAGTATTCCAGAATATTCAGAATGTAACGCAAAGTTGTATGTCATTATATTGCCTTTACTGTAGAAGTAATTCTACCAGAAGAATCTGATAGTAATTTCTCTCCTAACATGTACTAACAAAGCCTCTATGTTGACCTTTAAACTGAAAAGCACCACACCCAAGGCTAAGGCGTTGTGAAACAATCATCCCCAGAGGATAGAAAAAAGATCAGCTTAGTCTTACTCTTTGGAGCCATTTGTTGTGGGGAAAGCAGACATGGTCATGCCTGAACAGATGCAGTAACTCTGGCTTTGTTGGTTGTTTCAGTACATTTGCAAGATGAGATTTTCTTTACAGGTAGCGTTAACTGTCTCATGGGATATGAAAATATTCAGTTTCAGACTTTGACCACTGAAGGTTTTGAAATGGAGTGTTCTAGTACATGTGCAAAGAAACTAAATATGTGTAAGGGAAGGAGATAACTGCTCATTGGCTCATGCCCAGTTGTGAATTTTACAGGATGGGGCGCCTTCTAGGACCTTTGTCTTCCTTTTCTTTGTGTTCTTTCCAGTGAAACCATTTCTGCTGCTTTGAAGTGTTAGGGTTTTCTACATTATTCATTGTGTGTGTGTGTGCATGAGGGGAGCTGGTGCTGTGGACACCTATGGCAGCTGAGGGTTCCAAAGGCTGGACAAAGTCGCTAGGCTTGCGTTGCTCACAGAGCCGTCTCACCAGCCAAATGCCAGTGTTTTGAAACAGGAAGTTGGGCTGTCCTTTCAGTTTTTCCCTTTTGTCCTATCGCTCTCCTGTTGGCATAAATATTGTTTTTGTTTTAGTATTACTACTGTTGGTAGGTGCTCTTAAAGGTTAGCTCTCCAACTTTAAAATGTGATTTGAGCTTTACTAAAAATTTGTTTCATGACGTGTCTACAGTACACCAGTGTGTTTAAGATCTTATTGTAGTTTTTCTTTTAAAAGGGAAATAATTTTGAATGAGAATATTATTTTGGGGGGTTTTATTGTTGTTCTTGTTTTGTTTGTTTGGTTTTGGTTTTTCAAGACAGGATTTCTCTGTAACTTTGAGCCTGTCCTGAAACTAGCTCTTGTAGATCAGGCTGGCCTCAAACTCACAGAGATCCACCTGCCTCTGTCTCCTGAGTGCTGGGTATAGAGGCATGCGCCACCACTGCTCAGTTCGAGAATGTTATTAACAAATAAAATTTTCTTGAAAATTAAATTTAAAAATAAAGAAAATAAGTTTTATTAAGGAATTTTCTGTGGACATTAACCCTAACCCTACTGTTTGATCTTCCTGGAAGCTGTGTTCCCAGTCTCACAGACCTGTACCTCAGTCCCTGTTAGCAATTTCACATATTGCTTCTTATGGAATTAATTATTTTGTGACATGGAACTAAAGGATAGTACTAATTTTTAACTTTTCAGAATGAAGGGGTAATTTCAAATAGACACATGCAGGTTACTCACAAAAAATAATCAATAGGAGCATCATGCTTATACTCAGAATGTTTTGCATCTCAGACAACTTAAATAGGAGTCAAAACGGTGACTGCTGGGACAAGGTATAATTTTCTCAACAAATGGCTTTGTATTGGCCTCTGACATCTTAGAAGGGTGTAAAAAGTGTAGTACAGTGGTAGCGCTCTAGAATACAGAGCACAGTCAACTGCCTGAAAAATTAGAATTTTAAATAAATGTAGGAAACCATTTCAGTAGATATTTGCTAGTTTTATTCAAACCTTCAAATATATTTTTTAAGTTAAAGCCGAGCTAAAAAGTATATTCTGGGGCTTGGCAGAATGACTTAGCAGGTAATTGTGCTTGCTGCTCAAACCTGGCACCCTGAATTCAATAACTAGAACCCTTGTAAAATGGGAGAGCACCAACTCCATGAAGTTGTCCTCTGACCTCCACATAAACTGTGATACAGGCATCCTATCTGTATACATCATGTATGCACACACATAAAACCTGTACACACAGGCTACCACCCCACCCCCTAGGGATATACCCTAAGGCATAGTGAATTAAGACAGCAATACCAGTTCAAGGTCTGCTGGGTTGACCTAGTCCTAGGCTAGCAGGGCTACATCATAAGACTCTGCCTTAAAATAGGACAGAGGCAGAGGCAGGCAGTTCTCTGTGAGTTCAAGGCCAGTATGGTCTACAAAGAGAGTTCCAGGACTGTTACACAGAGAAACCATGTCTAAAACAAACACACAGAAAAGAAATGTGTTCTAAGATTTCCCATTGAGTAAAATGGGTTGTGTTCTTAGGTGCATATGAATGGATGAAGTTATGTTCAGAATGCAAAGCTATGGCCAGTGTTTTCCTAGAAGCTTATAAGTAATAGGAAGCTTGACTTTCCAGTCTCCTGTCTTCTGTGCTGTATTTCTCTTTGTAATCTTCCACTTCTCCGCATCAGTGTACCTGTTCAGTGTTACTGGTGTGATTAACCAGAAGCCGTCTTATTAAAAGAACACTAAGACTGGTCCATGCCCAGGCTCTTGGTAGTCGTCTGACTTGAGCAAGGTGGTTTGCTGTTGCTGTCGCTCACTGTTTCTCCACATTCTGGAAGTCCCCCTGCTTCCTTCCCCTGTCTAGGGATAGCCTGGTGACTTTTGCCCCTCTTCAAAGGTAGTAAGTGGTTTTTCTGCTTTCAAGGGGAGATCCCCCTTCTTGGTTGTATCTTCTGTTATGGGTTGTCAGAACCTTTTCTTAGTTTCTTTGAGAATTCAAGTCATCCCTGAAGTGAAGAGAAACAGCACTGTGGTATGTATAGTACCTAGTATGACTTTCCATCATAAAAACCAAGTGCATCTGTGTTCCTCTTCCTGATTAGTTCTGTGATTTCCACAATCTGTGCAAATCTGCTGCTGCCAATCATTTGCACTTTTCTTGGAAAATCAGTTTGATTTGAAAGGACAAAATAGGTGGCATCTTCTAAAAATCATCCTCCACTATCTCGTTTTGATTGTTGTAAATTCATAAAATTAAACCTTAATTTTTCCAAAGGAAGATTTGTACTTAATTATTGGAATGAAAATGATTTCATAAAATTTTAAGTCATGAATGAGTAGAATAAATATTCCTAATTAATTGTACTTTGCTATTCGATATAGTAAATTCTGCATGATGACATTTATTTTTTAAGGATATCCCATGTTTTCACTGACTGCTTGTGTTTCTGTTTTAATGTTACAGGGAATGACTCTACATAAAAAGGCGGCTGAAGATAGACTAGCTAGCACAGGTTCAGGGCAGTCATTTCTAGCAAGGCAAAGGCAAGCAACCAACACAAGAAGATCCTATCCAGGCCATGTCCAGCCAGCCACAGCAAGGTAGAGAGGTCTCGCCATTAGGGATTTTTAAAAGGCATACTTCTGTTACATAGAACAACATTTCAGGAAATCCAGCCGGCTTCGTTTGTTCTCTCCTGTGTTGATATTTAGTGTTTCTCACGTGAGGATCTCTCTTGCATCTTTTAGTTTCTCTGTCCTTTATGGTCTTTTCAGTTTCTTTTAATGTGCCAAAAATTTGTAAATGTACAATTAAAAACGTTGTATAATAGTGTAATACTTTTCTTTGTATGAAAATGTCTTCTTCCCCATTTGTGTGGGCTTTGTAAAGAATCAGATTTTCTGCCAATAATTGATACACAATTTATATTCTTTATCGTGCCTACTGTGTTACCATACTTTATAAGAATGTCTTTGTTTAAAGGGAATTAATCTTTTTATGGTGTATTAATCTGTGTTTTCAGTTGTTTTTCAAATGCACTTCAGATACCTTCAATACTTACTGTACTATCCAGAGTGGTGTCGAGAGCACTTGTGCAAAGGCAGAGGCCATAGTCAGATCGTACGGCACCTGGCAGGGTCGCTGGGAGAGAAGAAAGAAGTTTTCATGTTGTTTCACTAGAAATTAAACTTACTCTAAGATTCGGAGTTTATTTTCAGAACATAACTATGTGAAATGTCACTCTTTTCTGCTGCCGTGTTTGCTGGCAGAAGTGGAGTTGGTGAAGATGTTTGGGTAGACATTACAGAGGATAAAAAAAAATTGGCAGGCTTTTTTTTCTTCCTTTGAAATATCTTAGTAGTTAAGAATCAGATTCTAGCCACACACTTTTAATTGCTTTCCATATGTAAAAGATTTATTTTTCATATAGGTAGCCTTCTCTTTGGGGCAGTTCTTTGACTTATGCCGTATATGTTTTATATATTCTGTAAGCCTTCCCTTTTCTCAATTAATCTTGATAGCTAACATCTTAATACCATTAGTTAAGATCAGTACATGCCTTTTGTGTGTAATATTATGATAGATCTCTTTACAGTGTTTCCTAACTCTACCTATGAGTCCAAGAGTTGGTAACTGGAGAGATTTTGGGGTATTTGGTTGTTGAAATTGCTTACATTATATGCCACATTTATTTACATAGATGAATGCCTGCTAAGCAGTCGCTGGGAAGCACTTTGTCTATATAAGGTATCATATAATTTTAAACTGTCATTCATTTGACAATGATACACCTTTTGTCTTTCTCCATGTTGATTTATGTATTTGATCCCAGGTAATATTTAAGGTTTCTTCCAGCCTTTTTCTTGTTCCAAACCACATTTTTCAAAAGAAATCTGGAATCTGGTCAGAGGGTTATTTTGTTTGTTTTTAGGTAAGTCATCTAGTGGAGGATGTTATTTTATGTACTTGCTATTCGAAGTGCTGATGTTACTTAGTTCTGTATAAAAGACAAATGACTTTAATTCCAGTTTAATGTGATTAAGACTTTTCAGAAACTATATGCAAGTGCTTCATTTTAACTCTCTTCTCTTTTATAAGAAAATTGACCTAGAAATTTGTCCTGCATGTTTTGTTTTGTTTTTGTCAGACAGAGTCTTTGTGTAACCCAGGCTGTCGTGGACACATGATCCTCTGGATTATAGATGGGAACCTCCATACTCAGCTCTTAGAGAGAACCGTTCTTGAGGAAAGGTGTTAGAACACAGAGAAACGACACTACGCATCCTGCAGCATTTCTTTAAAGATATTCACTACGAATGTCTGAGCACAGTATGAGGCATCCGCCTAGGCAGACTAAAGCAGCGAGACTTGGAAATAGTGGGGAGAGCCGTGTGAGGACAGTGCACTGTGGGTGCAGGGCAAACAGACCTCATCTTTTAGGTCTGGTTTTGTTTATTTCAAGACAATCTAGCTGTATTATCCAGACTTGCCTCAGATCCTTTGACTGAAAGCCATCCTCCTGCCTGTGCCTTCCAAGAGGCTGAAATTAAGGTATGTGCCATCATGCCTACATGATATGTCAGGTTTGAAAATAAAAGATTAAAATTGGGGCCAGCAAAATGGCTCCACTGGAAGAATACTTGCCGCCAAGCCTGACGACCTCAGCTCATGAGATTCCTGGGGTTCAGGTGCTGAGGGAACAAGCTACTCCCAAGGATTGTCCCCTGACCTCCAGACTCACACAGGTTTAGGTACACACACATAAATATGTGTTAAAAGATTAAAACTAGTTTAAAATACTCTTACTTCATCTTTAGTTCACAGAATATCTAAAACTCAAGCACTTTTAAACAAACAAATTAGTCTGTGATCCCTACTCTTAATAAAATACTGCTTTTTGAGAAGTTATGCTTGTAGAACAAAAAGGATGTGAAAGCAGGAGACTCTGGAAGCCACTTTTCAGCTAGGTTTACCTGTGAGGTAAAAACATCTCAACGTTTTGATTTTCTGTTTACCTGCCCTCTCTATGTGCACACCCACCTACCCAGATATTTTCTCTAGATGTTTTGGAAATGCCTCAAGCTTTCAGAAGGAAATTTAGCTTCTGATTTTCTTCAGCATCTGCTGTATGCTAATTTCAGTGTTCATAACCTTTGCTTTGTTTGTTGTCTGTATCTTTAATGTTTGGTGGATTTCACTCAGTAAATGGAAGAAATATCATGTGATATTTCAGAATAAAATAAAGTATACTTTCATACGAAACAGCATCCGAACATATACTTTAGGCATCATAAAGCCAAGAATAAACCTAAATAAAGCAGTGGCAGCTTTTCCATTGCGTGGTTTAGGTCAGGACTTAGGGGATTACAGTTTCTCCGTCCGTGATCAGGAATGTTGCGGGTACTCTGATGATGATGTGTGGTCTCCCTAGAAGTTAAGAGGTCAGTGATGCTGGGCTGTGTCTCCACAGGCTTCTTTTACGGTACTTCCCTGAAGCCTCCTAGCTTGTTCCCTGAAGCCTCCTAGCTTGTTCCCTGAAGCCTCCTAGCTTGTCCTGGCAATACAAGAGAATGAGGACAGTGGGTCAGTGTCCTTGTATCAGGTTGAGAGAAGCTGTTGCCAGCATCCGAGTTCTTGTAACAAGCTTATTTTCTGTGCCATCTATCCGGGTTTAAAAAAAAAAAAAAAGCCAAAGAAAACTACTTAAAAAATGACCATTTATGTACCACATTATACATTTAAGATTAGAACAGGAAAACAGTCCAGTAAATGTAATTTAGTTTCTTGCATCGGAAATGAAAATAACTAATATAGTTGCACATATTTTAATTTAATTTTAAAAACTGGGACTAGAGAGTTGTCTCAGCATTTAAGGGCATTTATGGTTCTTCCCAAGAACACAGGCTCAGTTCCCAGAACTGAAATAACCAACCTTCTGTAACTGCAGTTCCAAGGAATCTCATACCTTCTTCTGACCTCCACAGTCACCAGGCACATGCATGTGTACATGCGTGCATGCAGGCAAGCGCTCATACACAAAATAAATCTATAAAAAGAAAATTTAAACTGGGTCATAGATTTCTTTTGTCTGATTACCTAAAAACAAAAATAAGTTCCTAAATAATTGATTCATATTGAAACTTAATCCGGATTGAACTATTTCTGTCCTCTTGGTAAAATTAGCTTAATGTGATGATTAAATTATATGGATGATATTGTCCAATTATTTTGAAGTTGTTTGGTTAATGTAATTTGATCCCAGCTACAAAATCAAGGTAAATGGTTCTTTTATTTTGTTTTTCGAGACAGGGTTTTGCTGTGTAGCCTGGGCTGTCCTAGAACTCACTCTGTAGTCCAGGCTGGCCTCAAACTCAAGAGATCCACATAACCTCTGCCTCCTGAGTGCTAAGATTAAAGGCATGTGCCACCACTGCCTGGCAAGTCAAGCTAAATGTTATCCGTCAGACCTACCAGTCTAATTTCATTCATTGTTACAGATCCAGATAGGGATTAATTCTAAAATAAGTTAGGTCTTAGTGGACAGAAAGATGCAGTCAAATGAGCAGTCTTGTTCATCTTTTCAATAGCAGTTTTCTTAGTCTTGTTAGTAAAAGGGAAAGGCTTTCGAGGGCTAGGATGTGCTTAGTTGGTGTAGTGTTCGCTTAGGATACGTGAAGTACTGGGTTCAGTCCCTGGCATTTTAGGAGATGGTTGTACACCTGTAGAGAGTTTGAGGCCAGTTTGAGTCACATGAGATTCTACCTTCAAAAAGAAAAAAATGTATATAGTTCTTTTGTAAAGTCTTGCTCCCATATAAGCATTGATCTATTATACTAACAATAACCGTATTTTAAGCTTTGAAATAATTCATTATGAGTTATCATTAATCAAAAACATAAATTTTAAAATACCTTCTTTACTTTCCAAATTTAATTTTCATTTGTTCAGATCTCTTAGTACACAAATGTTGTAACAGTTGGGAAGTGTTGTGCCTGAACATCCACAGTCCATATCTTAAAGAAACCAAGCTAATTTCCATTTGCTCGAGTTAATAACATAATTCGGCCCCACAGTGAAAGGGACATGTGTAGTACCTTTTCTGCTAAGGTGGAATCACATGAGTACCACATGTCTTCGGTTTTCTGTTCATTAAACCATGAAAGAATAATTGGACCTTTGTTGTTTTAGATTAATATTTTTAATTGAGGGAGGGTGACTTGGGAAGGATGTGTGCAAGAGCCCGTGGAGGCCAGAAGAAAGCATCAGGTCCCCCGGGGATGGAGTTAGATGTGCCCTGTGTGGAACTTGGGTTCTCGGCAAGAGTAGCCAGTTTTCCTCTCTAGCCCCAAGTATCTGGACTCATATTGTGAAGAGGTTTTTTTTTTTTTTTTTTTTAACCTTTAGATAGCAATCAACCTGATTCAGCTTTGTACTTAACAGTGAAACATATGTGGTATCCCAGAACATGGGAACCTGAGGCTGGAAAAAATATAAGTTGGAAGCTATCCTGGGCTATACAATGTGACCTTGTTTCAAAAAACAAAACAAGCGTATGCCAAACAAAGTAGAATGGGAAGCCAGGCCTGTTATCTAGCATACTCAAGACTACATTCAGTCCCTAGTATGGGTGAATGAATGAATGAATGAATGAATACATAAATGCATAAATAAAGTGGGATATCTCAATCTATAAAAATTATTTTATGTTCTGTTTTCCATTTTATAAATTAAGGGGGCTTCAATAAAATTTAACTTTGTTAACTACAATGCTGTCAGAATTAAAAGCGATCCAACCCTTTTTTTTTTTTTGTTTTTGAGACAGTGTCTTTCTCCATGGCACTGTGTGTCCTGGAACCCTGGAACTCACTATTGTAGACCAGGCTGTCCTTGAACTCACAGAGATCTGCCTGCCTCCGCCTCCTGAGTGCTGGGATTAAAAGTATGCACCATTGTGCCCGTCGCCTTTTTTTCTTTTCTTTTTTTTTTTGGTCAACCCAATTTTATTATGTTTATTTAGAAAGAGGTTTCAGAACTTATTCTTTTAAACTGATTTGAATATCCTATGATTCTTTTCCCCATTTTCTCTTTTGGTAGGAGGAAGGGTACTCTCAACACATCTCACATAATTTTTTACTTCTGTAATAAATATTTAAGTGATTGATGTAAGTGATTGATGTATGATTTTCATTGAATATTTGTCCAACTTTGACACAATAATGTTCTGAGTTTTTTTAATACTGTACAGCTCTCAGAAGCCTAGAAAACATGAAATAGTTTGCTCATTACTAACTCACTCGCTGATAACTAGCTTCTTACCCTTCCTGTCACTTAGAGTTATCAGTCCTATGCTTAGTGTCCTGTTTATAAAATGAAAGAACCCAAATATTCCAAACATCTTTCCTTTTAAGTCATTAGTTATGCCGTGGAAAGTATACCGGTTACTTTAAAACATCTTTTCAAGCCAGGTGTGGTGTTGCATACCTTTAATCCCTGCACTTGGGAGGCAGAGGCAGGCAAATCTCTGTGAGTTCTGGGCCAGCCTGGTCTCCAGAGTGAGTTTCAGGACAGCGAGAATTACACAAAGAAACCCTGTCTTCAAAAAAACCAAAAAACAAAAAACAGGAAAAAGACAACTTTTCATCAGTCTGATATACGTTACCATTTTGAGTAAAAAAAAAAAAACCCTAAGTTTTCTATTTAATGTTATAAAATATGAATATAGGTAGATTCTTACAGTTACACTAAAGTAATAGAACAGGGACTTGCTTTGAGAAATGAGAGCCCTGAACCTAAGTATGGCTTGTATATGAAGTTTGAAAACTGGGGGGGGGGGGGTCCGTAAATGCATATGACTTATATGTGTATATAAATTTAAATATGTATATGTGTATATTTCTCACTCCATGTGTATATATATAATATATATACACATACTTAAAACTAGACAGCAAGATTTGCTTTACGTGTCTCTTCAGTATTTTTCTGCTATAATTTTAGTAATGTCCTGCAAGGTTAAGTCTGAATGTAGTATGTAAGTAAAAATAGAAATTGAAAAAGTAAATGGCAATTAACACAAATAAACCCATTGTAAAGAGTAGAGTGAATATTGACATACGAAGGAGCCTAATTAACAAATATTTAGGCCAAGAGACATACTCAGAGAGTATCTTATTAAATGTTATAGTCAACAAATACTCCGTCATTATTACACATTTATCTGATAAAAGAGTAGGCCAAAACTAATTTATAATTGACTTTTGATGAGTATTAGCTAAGCATATAATCTGTTTGTTATTTGGAGGGAAAGCATTTCTTTTTATAATTAATAAGTTATTACTAAGTCTGGCATGTGAATTTAGGATGTTAAACTTTGATTTGATAAGATGAGAAAAAAATTATAATGGCTAAAAATGATCACCAGCTTCCCAACAAGTATCTGTATCATACATTGTATAGTTTACAAACCATTGTCTTAATGTCCCTCTTAATTATAATTGTACCGCCACAAAATGTCAAAAGTGCACTTTTAAAACCATTCAAAGTACGCCTTTATGTATCTGAGGCTTTACCACAGGCTCACAGGCAGATGTTTAGGTCTGAAGATGAAATTGTAGGTGTCCATTGTCTCAAATATCTCACCTATAGGGCTATTAAAACCTGAGTTGTATCTACTTGGAACTTGATTAAATATTGTGAGAACAGGCGAGTGAGTAAAAGACAACCTTAATACATGCTGAGGACATTGAGCACACGGACGTGATGTCTGCTCAGACTGAACTGACAAGTGGTGAGCTCAGCAGCTATGTTGTCAAAGCAGTGGCGAGAACCTACTTTTGTTCTTGTACTGTGTCTTCTGTCTGTAGTGTGTTCTACTAGAGACAGGCGTCTTAATGTTGTCTACCCTCCTCATCAGTCTAGGTTGTTTATATCCACTACAAAATTTCCAGCATTTTACTGATATTAAATAACTCTTCCTTTCCTCTTCTGCTACACTTGAGCATTTCCTGTTGACATACCAGTGTCATGAGTCAAAATCTGGAAATAGCTTATTCCTAGGTCGGCCAACAACACTGAAGCTGGCTTTTGGTTTTTGTGCTGGGAATTGAGCTTAGGGCCTCATGCACTCCTGGGCAAGTGCTCTACCATTGAACTCCATGCCCAGCAAATCAAGACCTCTTGAATACAAACATGTTTGAAACTACATTCTCGTTAATAAAAATTAAACACTTTCCTTTTAACGAGATTGTCTTACCCTTTGAGGGGTTGTCTCTTAAAATAAAAACCCGTAGATTGCTCCTAGTTTTTCCCACCATTGTAAATACCCAAAAAGAAGAGAAGGGGGTTCTCTCTCTCTCTCTCTCTCTCTCTCTCTCTCTCTCTCTCTCTCTCTCTCTCCCCCCCCCCTCCCTTCCTCCCTCCCTCCCTCCTTCCCTCTCTCCTTCCCTCTCTCCAGAAACTGAGAAGTCAGAGGCGTCTAAAAGACAGTGGGGGAAGGTGATTTTTAGAAAAGGGAGGCTCTAGAGATGATGGATGCTACAGAAATATTAATTGTACTGTGAGATTTTTTTTAATCTTTGCTTTTTTTTTTTTTCTTAAATTTGTCTTGCAAAGGTTTCTTCTTGTGCTGGTGAGTTTACACCCGGAACTCTCCCATCTGCAACATGAATTTAGTAATCATGTTAGAGACCAAAAGTGCTGAGGCTTGTTGATTGCTAACCCTGATACTGCCAGAGAATTGGCTTATAAAAGCATACGATTTTTCTGGTTTTGCCTTGTTTCAAAGGATATACATGTTTTAATACTGTAAAAAATGTGTGCACTTGGGGCCAGAGAACCTAGCTCCAGTAGCAGAACAGGTGACTCAATTGCACAAGACCCTGCCTGGCTTCAGTGCAGGGTGAGTCAGTCTTGTGTCTCTTGCTGTCTGTCTCTCTCTTTAACATACATACACATGCGTGGATGGACAGATGCACACATGTTGCTGTAGAAGCTTCTACTGATGACGTTTGCTTGCTTAAGCCAATCACTTAGAAGAAAGCAACACTGAAATAGAGAAGCCTGCATTCAACTGTAAGGAAATAGGTACCTTTTTTTTTTCTTTCCTGAGTAAAAAAATCAGAAAGCCAGGATAGTATCACACACCCATAATCCCAGCACCAGGCTGAGACAGCAGGACCACAAGTTTTACGTCAGATGAGGCAACATAGAAAATTCAAAGCCTGTCTGTCTCAAAAAAAAAATTTCATGAGTACAAAAAATATACAGTGTTTTAAATATGTTCTATGTAAGTGTTTAATGAGTGAATTTCTAAGTGTCCTAACATCTCCTAGCTTCTTGTAATGTGCATAAAGTAGATTATAGACCAAGTCAGTACCACCTGCCATGTGTGGCAGTTTTAACTTGAAGATAACTCGCACCTGTAATTCTAGCACGGGGAAGGCTGGGATAAGAGGACTTTGCACAAGGATCAGACCATCCGTGGCTGCACGGTGAGATTCTGTCGGGTGTTTCAGCGCTGCAGTACTCACACACGTGCAGTGGACAGCACAGGTGTAGAAAATGCAGAAAACCGCCAGAAAACAGGCAGTCAGCTTACAAGTCAACTAAGTCAGCTAAGGAGCAGCAGCTAAAGGGTTTAACAGGTGAAAAGTGTTTCTTAGAAAAGTTTTGTGTCATCATTTTTGGCCTTGTTAAAATCAAAGCTCCATATTGTGAGCTTTTAATATACTCTTCCCAACGCAAATGGTCAGTGCTTTGTCAACTGGTTAGCTAAATCATTTTATAAATCATTTAATATCTTCAGGCATTTCTCCCTTTTATACTTTTTAAATTGATTATCATCAAACAGAAACTGATAATAAATGCTTAACTTATTCTCAAACAAAATTAGTAAACACCATAGCCTTATATTATTTAAATCTACTTATATCTCAGTATCTCATGAAGGTCACCTTTTGTTTCTGCCTTGTAGCTTTAAAGTCATGTTTGACTGTCTTTCACTTCAAAGATAGAGTTAGGACCAAAGAATTTGGTTTTCTTCATGGTTCCCTGCTTTTAATTTGCTTGGAAGATGAATGTGACCAATTTTTTTCTTTCTGAAGCAAACATTTGCTTTTCCAGAATGTGACTAGGCGATGGAAATGTTGGGAGTATGTGCTGGTTCTCCTGCACTGTACTAAAGTACTTATCTAACTTAAAGGATTATGCTGATTTATCGGAAATTTTCGAATCAAACTAAAGGACTTCTTTTAAATGTATGTGTCTGTGTTGGTTTGTTGTTACCATTTTTGATTTCTGGAGTTAACGATAATGGAGATCCAACCTAAGACCTTGCAGATGAGATTTGAGACAGGTTCTCCCTTTTTCGCCTTGGCTGGCCTGGAACTCACGGAGATCCATCCACCTGCTTCACCTCCTGAGTGCTGGGATTAAAGGTGTGCTCCACCAACCCTGACATCAGTTGCAATTCTTCTGAGTCAGACTCACACTTAGTGACAGCTTTCCTGCTAAAAGGTCACAGTGCTCTCCTCGTGTTTTAAAACTTTGATAACCAGGCAACAGAATCACAACAGTATTGCCAATTTCTCAACAGGTTATGAAATTATTACTGTGATCCAAGTACAGATGAGCACGTGATGTGTGTGTGTTTGTTTTGTTGAGTTCTACAAAGACTCGTGGGTTAAGGATAGTTTTCAGTATGCTCTAAGTAACAGTTTAGTGCAAATATAGGAAATGACTGCACCCGGATGCTGAGCAGTGGTCTGGCACCTCATTTCCATTACTTTTTAAAGTAGCTTTAGTTACTCACAATTCAAATCCACTAAAATACTGTCATCCCTAATGACATCCCCACTGTCACTTATAGATTCTGTAATTCGTAATATTTTGTACTCTGAAAAATAATTTCCAGATTTGTTGGAGTTCTCTTTGAGAGCTGCCTACCATTTATAACACACATCTTTTACTATTTTATTATGTCGTGGGTAGCAAAATTCAAACATGCTTAATAATTTGCCTTATTTAGACTAAGAAATTGAAAATACCAAAAATATAAATATAGAAAGATATTTGTTTCCCTGTGGTTTTTTTTTTTCTTTTTCGGATGAGCTGGAAAACACCTAAGTATATTGAAGCTGGAGTTGTGCCGACCATGGCCCCATGTGTAAGGCCTTGTTCTCAAGTCTCAAGTATTGCTGACTGCTCCTTACGTTGTTGCCAGCTTCATGTTTGACACAGTGGGTATTTCCCACCTTGCATCCTAGCCATTCTAAAAGTACTATTAGTTATCTTCCCACTCTGGAAGACTATTGAATTTGTGGTAGTTTTATTCTTTGTAACATAATCCAAACCTGATGTTCACTTTAAGCTCTGCATTTCTCACTTCAAGTCATTTCTAACAACATTATATTACGGTCTTCAAGCGTTTTTCCTCCTGTTTACCCAGTTTGCCGGTTTCGTACTTCGTCTTACAACTGGCACGTTTTCCCATTGTTGTAAGTGACTTTTTAGAGCTGTCTCCTCCAGTTAGAAATTCTACTAAAGTCACAACAACAGAGTTCTGAGAAACCATCAGAAGGGTTTTTAATCTTACATTTTCTTTTGGTTCATTTTGATTTTATGACTGCCAACTTGTTATATATGAGTGTTTATATATGCATATAGTATATGTATATGAAAAAGTTAAGATTTGGTCAAACTATATTTTCCCATTCAAGTACAAAAAATGTTTTCAAGGCTGCAAAAAGTGTACAGTTGTTAAAGAAGTTGTAAATAAAGACTTGTATAAAAATCCAGCTCAGATCTTGTTTTTTCTGCTTTGTTACAGACATTTAACAGTTGTCTGATTTTTACACTTGATTGTGCACTTGGTAGTGTTAGGGGGCAGCCGGACATTAAAGTCTTGGAAGCCATAGAGGATGAGTCCTTCCTCAAATCAGTCTTAGCCCACATTCCAGGCAACACTGAAGCAAAGGGAAGTACTACAATTAACACCTTTCCTAAGATTTTACATGAAAGAGGAAAAGAGGTATCGGGGTTTAAGGGAAAACTATTTCCTCCTCAAAAGAATGGGAGCTTTCTGCCCCGCCCCTAAAATTGCGATACCCCCCCCCACACACACACATTTAAGGGTTTATCCAAGCCAGGCATGGTGGCACATAACTAATCTCAGCACTCTGATGCAGAAACAGGCAGATCTCTGTGAGTTTAAGACCAGTGTGGTCTGCAGAGAGTTCCAGGACAACCAGATCTACATAGTAAGTCCCTGTCTCAAAAAGCAAACAAAAAGAGTTAATCCAAGTGGGCTCATCAGTCATTTGGCCACGAGACCACCCAATATACACCTGAAAACATGTTAAAGCAATTGAAATTGCCTGGCGCAAGTGAGATGGAAACACGGAACACGCAACAAACCCACTTAGGAGTTTATTAGAGGGGGTGTGTACAGACCTGGAAAGTCAGTGTGCAGGGAGAGAGACGAAGATGGTACATCCAGCTTTTAAAAGCTGCCTGGCGCCGGGCAATGGTGGCGCACGCCTTTAATCCCAGCACTCGGGAGGCAGAGGCAGGCGGATCTCTGTGAGTTCGAGACCAGCCTGGTCTACAGAGCTAGTTCCAGGACAGGCTCCAAAGCCACAGAGAAACCCTGTCTCGAAAAACCAAAAAAAAAAAAAAAAAAAAAAAAAAGCTGCCTAGCGCATGCAGGGGGTTGGCGTGGCTAATGTCATACACAGATGACGGGGCTCACGCATGTGCTCAGGGGCTTATCTGGTGTCATATGTGGATGACATAATCCTCACCGTACGTGAGACATGTCATAATCCTCACCGTACGTGAGACGTGCAGGGGCCCTTAAACATCCCCAGGGGCCATTAGGCACTTCTGCCTGAAGGCCTGTCTACACTTGCATGACCCCTAGACCCCGGAAGTATCAGCCTTATGTGGCTGCAATCTTTACAGCAATGGAAAGACTAATGTTTCCTTAATGAAAGGATATACTTAAATCTCATCCCAGAAGACTGTCCCTCGAACATTTTTTATTATTTTTATTTATTTATTATTATGTATACAATGTTCTGCAGAAGAGGGCACTAGATCTCATTGCAGATGGTTGTTAGCCATCATGTGGTTGCTGGGAATTGAACTCAGGACCTCTGGAAGAACAGCCAGTGCTCTTAACCTCTGAGCCATCTCTCCAAACCCCCCCCCCCCCTTGAACATTTTCTTCCAGATCTTCACGCTACCTATTCTGTTCTAACTCAGAAGTTTTCCTTTTCCTCTGTCTTTTTCCAGATACTGGCCAAGGTCCCCAGTACACTTGCCCTGACAGTAAACACTGTCACCTTCTCAGAAGACTCCTTTCAGTCCCACCCCTGTGTCCGATTGCAGATGTCCACTGCTGAGCCTGCTTGCCTTTTGGACCCAGCCCAGGAGGCATGACCTCCTTCCTCTCAACCATCCCCTTTCTCCCAGCAGCTGCTCACATTTATAGCTCGCCTGCCCTGTTGTTTTTCTCTCACACTTGCAAAATTCTCCCCAGCTTTCTGAATCTTAAAATTCTTTTATCAACAAAACTAAGAACTCACAAAAGGGAACATGTGTTTCCTAGTAAAACTTAACTTGGACTGTGTCAAAAGGATGGAGAGGAAGTACTGGAGTGGTTAAGTGTTTAATTCCTAGCTACCACATAATGGCTCATAACCATCTGTAATGGAATCTGACGAACTCTTTGACATGCAGATGTACATGCAGTCAGAGCACTCATACATTAAAAATTAACTTTAAAAAGTGCAGATGAGGGAGCTGGAGAAGTGGTCCAGCGGTGAAGAGCATGGAGTGCTCTTGCAGAGGACGTGAGTTTGGTTCCCATCATCCGTGTCAGATAGGTAATAACAACCACTTACAACTCCAGTAGCCAGGCAGGAAGTATAGGTGGGACAACCAGACAGGAAGTAGAGGCAGGAAAGGAGAACAGGAGAATTCTGAGAAGGAGGAAGCCCATTTCTCCCTAGTCCTGTCCAGACATTGAAGAAGGAAGATGTGACCTGCCCCACTGAAAAAGGTACCGAGCCATGTGGCTAGCATATACTAGAGTAATGGGCTAATATAAGTTATAAGAGTTTCTGTAGTGCCTCCTAGTTTTCAGTGTATAAAGGAATACAAGATGAAAATATTGGCAATCCATTGCTGCATCATAAGTTACCACCAAACTCGCCCACACACAACACAAACACATTTCTTAGCTCACAGTTCTCTGGTGTGTGGTGTTTCTCAAGACTGCCTTTCAGAGTTGGACTGGAGATCTATTTCCAGGTCTGCTCACATGTTTTCCAGCCCTTAGTGTTACTGGCTTCATCAAGTCCTTGCTGTGTAGCCTTTCCACAGTGCAACTCACAAAATGAGTTTATCTCCCTCAAAACGAGGCTGTAAGAGATATGCTTGGTCAAGGCACAAGGGAAAACATGAGGAGACACAGGCTTGTCGACTTGGACGTGACATCCCGTGCCTTGTGCTGTATCTGACTGGTCACAGGATCCAGCCCATACTCCAGTCACAGTGAGTACATGAGGATCTGAAGACCAAGAGGCAGGGCTCTCAGGAGCACTCCCTAAGGCTGCCTATTGCAGCTTCGAGAGCAAGCCTGCTGCCGTCTTTATGTCTGCCCTGTGCCAGAGGGGCCATTCTGTTCTCGCTGATGATGAGTTTCTCTTTATCACTGGTTTGTAGCTATTGATTTCCATTAACATTTTTTATTTATAGTTAAGTTCATTCAGATTCAAAGTGTATAGTTTTCCTCTAATTTGGAACAATGTAGTCATTTGTCGTAAGCCACATGTTGGGGTGACATCCAGATGTCCAGCCTTAATGAAATTCATACGTTCCAGGGTAGGAGCATGAGGATCAGAATTATTAAATGAGATATGAGAGAAATAAAAGACAGAAACCCAGAACAGCACCAGGAGAGAAATTCAGTGAATACTGATCTTCCCGAATTTATTTTTCACATGCTTCTATACTTCACTCCAAAATGGGAAAGGGGAGGCAACAACTTCATCCTGCACATAGCTACTCCCTAGAACCTCCTGCCAATCTCCTTTGAAGGAGCAGGAATAGCAAGGTGGAGCAGATCCACCTCTATACTCAATGCCTAGAGTGAAGGCCTAATAATCCGAAAACCTCAGTTGAGCTGAGAAACTCAGGACAGGAAAGTTGATTTGACTATTAATACCCGTGGCTTCGATCACATACCAACCTCTATTGGGACCTACCACTTTTAGACCCACAGTGTGTGTGTGTATGTGTCTGTGTACAGACCCGCAGATGGAATCTTCCATTCCTAAAGTTCCCTTTTCTGCTCTATAAAACCTCCAAGGCCCCACTGCCGCCCTTCATTTTTCTAATTAAAGGACAATCTGCTTCTAAAGACGTCGTTTTGTTTGGTTTCTGCTTTGCCTCGACCAATCCTGATTTAAGAACCCTCCCTGGACTAGACTGTCATCAGGCACTTGGATTTTTGCTGTGAGTGACCCTTGTACCTAATTGGTAGTAAATACTTGTTACTGAATGTAACTATTCTCTATGGCATCTACAAAGGTGCTTCCCTTTCCCCGCACACGCTAACATACATGAGTATTACTCGCACTGACCCCAAACTTAATTTCTAAAGACAAAACCCCTGGGTTAGTACAATTCCGCTTTCCCGCCTGAGCGCGAAGCCGGCTTCAGGGACTGTTTCTCTGCAGCTGCCTCTGGCCATTGATGATAGTTCTTCTCTTCCTTCCGGCGAGTGAGAGGGAAGGAACGCAGTCTAGGTGGAGAAATACAATAACAAATCTGTTTTATATAAACTCCTAGCATAGGAAAAGGTTTAATGCGTGAAAGAATATAAAGGTCCTTTCAAGGTTAAAGTGGAAGCCTGAAGGGAGGGGACGGGGCTTTCTGTGGACCGTTTGCAGGGTCTAAAGAAGGGAGCGGCAGGGGACTGGAGAAGTAGCTCGGTGGTAGAGCACATGCCTGGCATGTGCAAGTCTTTGGGTTCCATCCCGTGTGTTACAAAGAAACAAAAGCTAAGAATTAAAGAAAAGTTACCCGAAGAAGGGGGGGAAAGAGCAGCTAATTCTTAAAAGCCACCTAAAGGTCTCTGTGAAGACTTGCAGTCGGGAAGGGACCCAGGAACCCGGGCAGCGAGTACAGTAGATAGACTGGCCAGGCCAGACCTCCCGGCCGGGCCCTCTACCCCACGCCTCTATGGTAAGCCCCGAGGAACCGGAAGTAGGCCACGCCGGGGGCGGGGCGGGCGCGGAGTGGGCGGGGCCTCCACCACCACCTCTGCTGCGGACGGAGGCGAGATGGCGGCTACCGAGGGGGTCGGGGAATCCGGGCCGGGCGGCGAGACCGGGCAGTCAGAGCAGCCGCCGCCCCCGCCTCCTCCGCCGCCAGCGCAGCAGCCGCAGGAAGAGGAGATGGCGGCCGAGGCCGGGGAGGCGGCGGCGTCTCCTATGGACGATGGGTTTCTGAGCCTGGACTCGCCCACCTATGTCTTGTACAGGTAACGCCCTCCCGCGGGCCGCGGCGCTGGGGGCCCGGGCTCAGCTGCACCGCCGGGGCTGAGATGCGCGCGACGCTGCAGCCGGGCGGACGGGGGCGCCCTCCGGGTGCGGGCAGGCTGCGGCGGCGCTCCCCTGAAGCTCGGGTGCGGTGACCCTTCCGTGATCCCGCAGTGCCGTCCAGATGCCATAGCCGTCCCTCCTCGGAAAGGTGCACTTCTGATCGCCGCTGCGGAATAATTTGAATG